TGCTGGAAGATAATGTCTTATGGCAGCTGTCCTAAAGCCTTTTATCAGAATAGCTTGAGCACTTTAAAAAAATGCAGATTCCTTGGCTCCACCTCTGTCCCTCCCCATCGCCCTATACCCCTTACCCGCAAGATTCTGATACAGTAGGTCTGGGATACAGTCCAGAATCTGTATATAGAAAATGGTCCCCAGGTGGTTTTGTTGGATGACCAGATTTCAGAACTACCTTCTAAACTGTGCTGCTATATAAAAAACTCCCAGAACTACTAATCACAAAGTGAGGGGCTTCTTTGTCCTTATTCTAAAGAAGAGGATTGTTTCCTAACCTGCCAGGCCTGATGCACATGTAGTAGGTGCAAGCTCAGATGCCTGCAGCACTAGGCACGTAAGGTAAATGCATGAAAGAAGCAGATAGGGAGCAGTGGGGACTGCAGCAAACATGACTGATCCAGAAGGCACGGATGCCTACCAATCGCAGCCACGTGTGCATATGGGCCTGCCATCGCCAGAGCTTCCAAATGTTCAAAACAATCCAGAAATCCAGATTTTATACCAAATGTCCTGCGAAAGCTAAACACATCTATGGGTAGCCTGGGCCCAGAGCCCACGCCATCTCTGGTCCGGTGGGGCGGCACAGCTGAAACCCTTTTAAGCTGTGTATTCATTTCCCAAAGCAGCTGAAACAAATTACCACAAATTTGGTGGCCTAAAACAAAAGAAACTTACTCACAAATATGGAGCCCAGAAGTCTGCAAAGCGTCCACAGGGTGGTCCTCCTGGGGGCTCTGAGGTAGAATCATTCTTGCCTCTTTCCTAACTTCAGTGGCCGCCACAATCCGTGGCTTTCCTTGGCTTGTGGAGGCCTCTCCCCGGTCTGCCTTTGTTTTCACGTGGTCTTCTCCCCTGTGTGTCTCCCCATCTCTGTCTGGTTGCCCTTCCATTCTAGTCCTTGTTACTGGATTCAGGGCACACCCCATCTCATCTTGAGATCTTTAACTTAATTACATCTGCAAAGACTCATTTTTCCAAATGTCACATTAATAAGGTTCTGGGGTTTAAGACTTGAACATGTCTTTTGGAGGGGCCACTATTCAACCCACTACAGGTAGGCTTGCATAAAAAATATCCAAACCCATTATTCCAGTCAAATGTTATTTTTACCAAGCTTTTCCTTATCTGCTAGTTTATTACTATGATAGAAATGAAGTCCATCTTGGCAGAAAACTTGAAGATACGCCAGCTCAGGCCCAGATGCATTTTGTTACCTTTTCATTGCTTACATGCTTCTAGCTTTTCATCTTATTAGCATTATCCCATTGTCTATTTCCAGCCACTATTTCCAAAATCAGGGATGTGGAGAGAGGGGATCTCTGCTTCACGCAGGGTTCCAACACCGGCAATGTCCTTGATTGGATAAACGGTGCTCGCTCCAAGTTCATGGGCAGGAGAGCAGGGTGACGGTGGGAGAGCAGAGTGGGTAGGGTACTGGGTGAAGCGAGAGAACAGGCAAAGTAGGAGCCTGTCTTCGTTCACGAGAGAAGACGAAAGAAGCAGGAAATACGGCGCAGGTGAAACGGCGCCTGCAAACCACTCTCCCAAGGCCCAGAACTTAAATGTGATTTCTACTGCCATCTACTGGGAAGCACAGGAACCAGCTCAGACCTGAGCTAGAAAAACAAAACAGTGATTCCAGCCTTGGATGACTCTAAGGGGCGGTTTTTAGCGGGGCTGGCCCCTTTCGTGCCTGTTCTAATGAGGACCTAAGGAGATTCCTAGCAAATATCTGACCACCTTCTGTGCAGCTCTTACACTCTATGCATATGTGGTTCCAGAGCCCATTTATGTGCTGTAATTTGGTTTAGTGTTTAGGAAAAAAATATATAAATAAATAAAAAACACTAGAGCCTGGGCCCTTTCCCAGAGATTTTGATTTAATTGGTCTGGGTACAGCCTGTGCATCAGAATTTTAAAAGCTTTTTTTAAAAAAAGCTGGTTCTACTGTCTCCCTAGCTCGTTGGTGAGCAGGAGCTGTGTCTTTCCTCTTTGTATCCTCAGCACAAGCACAGAACAGCTTCTCAAAAAAAAAAATGCCTATTGGATATAAAAAAGAAAAATCCAACTTCACAATTCTATTTCTTATCGACCATTTAGCTGTTAACAAATTCGTGGGTACCGAATGGCAAGACAAGCCACAAGAGGGAAACTGGATTACCTGCGGTTTACCAGAGTCTTTGAACTCGGCTAAGGAGTCCTCGGATGCACACTCAGGGCCGGTTCAAGTGGGGAGTGGGGCTGCTTGCTCCCCGGAGGAAATCACCCTGTGCAGCAAGCTGACCTCCTCACGCAGCTGTCATCCACTCAAAGGGCAAAGAGCTGAGGTGTGGCCTAGCGTGTAGGTGGAAGGGAAGCGTATTCCAACTATCAGTGACTGCTGCTGCTCGCGTCTCAGAACTGAGCCCGTGGTCACTGACGGAATAGCAACTCTTCCCTCCTTACCTCGTAACATATCCGTTCATGGACCCTCTACCCCAGGGTTCTCAACTTGGGCTATACGACAGCACCACCTGGAAAGCTTTTAAAATTCTGATGCACAGGCTGCACCCCACACCAATTAAATCAGAATCTCGGAAGGAGCCCAGAACTAAGAGTTTTTTAAAGCTTCCCAGGTAAATTACTTTTCTATAGCTGCTGTAACAAGTTACCACAAATTTAGTGGCTTAAAACAACACTAATGTATTATCTTACAGTTCTGTAGTTCAGAAATCCAAAATGGGTCTTGCTGGCTAAAATTAAGGTGTTGGCGGAGTTGCGCCCCCTATTGGAGGCTCTAGGAAAGAATCAGTTTTCTCACCTTTTCCAACTCCTAGAGGCTCCTGCGTTCCTGGGTTAGTGGCTTCCTTCCTTCTGCGAGGCCAGCAATGACCTATCCGGTCTTCCTCACATTGCTTCACTTGACACTGACTCTTCTGCCTCCCTCCCCGACATTTAAAGACCCCTGTGATTATGCTGGGCGCACCCAGATAAGCCAGGCTAACCTCCCTACTTTGAAGTCAGCTCATTAGCAACATCAAATCCATCTGCTGCGTTAATTCCCCCATTGCTGGGTAATGTGAACCTATTCACAGGTTGCCAGGATTAGGACGTGGGCATTTTGGGAAGACATTATTCTGCTTACCACATCAGGTGACTCCAATATGCAGGTAAGGATGAGAACTACTGGTCTGACCACAAGAAGACTAGAGAACTGGCCCAGTTAGCAAGCTGAGCCATGACAGAAGACTAGAGGTGTGCACGGAAAAATCGGCAGGGGGCAACGGGAAGGAGGTTGAGAAGAGGCAATTTTACACTGTCGCAGAACTTGTTTTTTTTTTTTGACAAGGGATGGAGGCAAGTTGACATGTGATTTATTCTTACTCAGCTGACAGTTTGGGGAAGCTGAATTCTATACTCCCCCAAGGATGATGGGACCATCGCCGCTCAGCTGTAGCCTATAAAGAAAATTGAGGTGTTAACACAAGATCCCTTTTCCAGACTTTTCTGACTCACAGATAATCAGCTTGCTCCTTGTTTTAGGCTTACCCAGAGCCAGGGTACATGCCAGATTCTTAAGCGTTCTATGGACTGTCCCCTGTAGTGGGAGATGCAAATGTCTGGCCCACAGATTGCATATGGCTTGAAGATGTATTGGGATTGGCCTTTTAATGTCAACACAAACACACACACACACACACTCAAGATTTCTGGCTTCCTTCAAAGATCCAGCTGTACTTGGAGAGCATTTCTGCAGGACAACTCCGAGCTGGAAGAACAGGGCTGTCTTACATGGGACTTTTATTCTCTGACTTACCACAGGTCTCATCCCAGCCTTTTTGCTTTACACCTGGCTCACTTCACACATTTACGTTTACAACCCTCCCCTCCCCCCAGAGTTCACATGCCTGAAGTTAGGCAAAATTCCCATAAAGACCCACTTGCCTGTTATTGATGCCAAAGTGAACAGCTCTGCATTGGGAAAGATGGGACACAGGCCAATGGCTGTCTGTACACACAAAACCCTTTCCTCGCCACCCAGCAAGCACCTGAGGGGAGCCAGACTAGGGTCTGAGGGAAGAGCCCGCAGCCACCAATGTTGTAGTGAACATACTGGTCTCCACCAGCACAAACTGCCTTTGTAGGAAATTAAGCTGAAAACTGCCCCACTGCACCTTCTGCCCACTGGTCTTTCTTAAGCCTTCAGAGGCACACACAACCAGCCTCGCTCTCCTTTTATGCTGACCCTTCCAAAAATTAAGACAACAATCATCACCCAAGTGCCTCTTCCCACCTCCAAATGTGGGAGGTGGACATGCAAACACACCAGCAAGCATGCCGAATTCCACAGACCACTCCCCCCAAGATCTCGTTGACACCTCTTCATCATTCTGGTGCTGCCCAAGTGTGCTGCTCCAAACTAACACAGCAGGACAGGATGACTAGACCCTGTGCCTCTACAGCCTATCCCAACACTGCTCACGCTTATAGATAAGAAAACAGGGGACTTGCCAAGCTGAGGCCCTTAGGGGTTCAAGGAGAAGAGGGATAATCTTCCCCTTACATGGTTCCAGGGGAAAACCCTCCCCTGAAGAAAGAGCACCAAGTATTTCTAATGGATAAGATCTAAAAACACTACTCTGCACTCACTCCTCTTTTCTTTAATGGCCTGGCAATCCTTGTAAGGATGACAACCTAATTTTGAAATACAATCCCCAACTTACGAGTTTGACTTTAAGATGGGTTTACTGGGACATTCCATGCATTTTCAACTTAGGATGGGTTTATCAGGAGGTAGCCCCAGCATAAGTTGAGGAGATTCTGTATGCTTCGGCTCAAGAGGCTGGAGTCCATTTTAAAGGGCCCATGGGAAGATAAGCCAGGTGGCAAATGGTGACAATGCCTATTTTCCATGGCACTGCTCATTGAGTCAGCCTTGGCATAATTAGGAGAGATGAAATTCAAGCCACTCTTGGAACCACTGGTTTAACAGTCTCAATGCATGGATTAAGATTGATGCTTTGGCTCAAGTAAGATTTGGGTTTAGATAAAGTTTTGGTTTAACTATCCTTCTCAGATTAAATGAGACAGTGTATGTAAACCATTTAGAAGAGTGTCCAGAACACGTTAACTTTTATTATCACTCCATGTCTTTTGGCCATTCCTAAACATTTTCGTCTCCACCATAGCTCTTTATGCAGGGTCTGGCAAGTAGCTGTCACTCAACAAATGTTGTGAGTTAAGGAATACCAGAGACTTCAGTCTGCCAGGTCTCTGCCATACACAGCCATGAGGCCAGCTACAAACACTCCCTCCACTGAGAACAGAAACAAATGACTTAGGCTACAAGATCTGGGTGGTCAAGAAAAGTTGTTAAAACACTGGAGTGGGTTATCAGATTCCTGAAAATTGGAACCATTTTAATGGTAGCTCTGAGACAGAGCAGATGCTCTCTCAAATATCTCACATCTATTAAAACCCTACTCTGCTGACAGTCTTCTAGCATAAGAGTGTTCTACTATCTCACTTGAGATCATTCCTACAAAACCAAGAGGGATAAAGCAAATAAGCAAATTAGTAAAGTACAGATGCAATCAAATTTGATTATCTTTAGTCCTAAGGAGCTTGGCTCATACTCATTAAGAAATTCAGTGTGTGCTAGAGGCTCCAGCAGGGAATCCTACTCAAGGACAAGGTACAGAAAGCAGATGAGCAACCCAAGGGGTACTAAAGAGGACAAGATGGGAAGGGTTTTTTTATTTTCCCAGCTCTTTGGTCAACCTCACCTCGCTGGACATACACGTAGTTGAGCATGACACCAAGAAAAATACAGGCTTAAAAAGTACTGTGCATTGTATTTCTTCCATCTCTAGCAGGCCAGGAGTCCGAGGTCAGTCTAGGCAGGACGCTGAGAGGGCTGCCTGGCCTCGGCGATCACACAATCTTCACGGTCTTGAGCATATCTGACAAGACGTATGTGTCATCCCACCCCCTCCCAGGCTTCTTCAGGGTCCGCTCCAAGGCCTGGGCCATTTCCAGGAGCTCTGGCATGGCAAGTTTCTGCTCAGGCTGCAGCTGACAGAACAGGATCTCGTTCACTTCATCCTCGATTCGCCGCACGTACAGGAGGGGGAACACTGCCTTGAGTCTGGCCAGCACTGCGTCCTTGAGCCCCAAGTCTCGGCACACGAGGTTGAGGATAAAAACACCTGCAGGGTGGGAAGGACAGTCAGGACGACCTCAGATCAGGAGACATGTCAGAGACAAGGCTTAGCTCTGAGGAAAACACTGATTCCTGTCCCAGGGAGGCTGGTGGAATTAGAGAAAGCACCTACGGTGGCAGTGAGCTTGCAGAGAATACACAGCATACAAAGGCAGACAGAAAAAGTATGGAAAACATGGGAACCGTAAGAAAACTTCAGCCTTATTTCTTGCTCTTCTGTGCTGCTAACACATTATTTTACCATTCTCCATGCCTCGGTCCCAAAGAATTGCTTTGAGAAAGAATTCATATCCCTAAGAAAGTAAAATTTACCAACTCCACAAGGATGTTACATTCTTGACATACACATCATGGAGTACTTACTAACCAACCCGAGGGCTAAGGTTACCCTGACTTGTGACAATCAGTTCTAAGTCAACCCGGTTCACCACACTACCTGACATCAAATCAACACACCCAGGGGGCTGTGAACATGGGGATTAAGAACTTCAGCTTTCAAGCAACATGAACCTGTGATAGAGCTCCAACTGTTACCTTATGTCACCTTCAAAAATCTCTCAACCTCAGTTTTCTCATCTGAAAATGCACTGCTATGAAGATTAAATAACATACTGCCTAGTCCTGGGCACTCAGGAAGTATTTAAGTGCTAGCTAGTGTCACCATGCTGGTGTGACTATGAGCTGCTACAACCACTTTGTAAAATGGTGTGGCAGGATCTATGAAAGCCAAACATACATATAACCTATGATCCAGCAATTACAACCCTGAATGTATACCCAAGAGATCTGCAAACACAGTTCCTCAAAAGGGACATACTAGAATGCCAACGGCAGCACCACTTGTAGACCCAAACAGGAAACAATCCAAATACCAACAGTAGAATGGATAAATAAATTGTGGTATAGTTATGCAATACTACACAACAATAAAAATTAACAACATAAACACAACACTGAGGATGAATTTCACAAACACCATGTTCAGTGAAAGAGCACTTTGGGAGGCTGAGGTGGGAGGATACCTTGAAGCCAGGAGTTCAAGACCAGCCTGGGCAACATAGCAAGACTCCATCTCTACAAAAAATTAGTCGGGCCTGATGGCATGCACCTGTAGTTCCACCTACTTGGGAGGCTGAGGCAGGAGGATGGCTTGGGCCCAGGAGTTTGAGGTTGCAGTGAGCTGTGATGACAGCACTGCACTCTAGCCCAGGTGACAGAGCAAGACCCTGTCTCAAATAAAAAAAAAAAAATTAAAAAAAAAAAAGAGTACATTCCATATGAGTCTATTTATGTAAAGAGCAAAAACAGGCAAAATTAAGCTGTGCTGACAGAAGTTAAGAGAGTAGCTCCCTTTGAGAGGAGGACAAGTCACCGACAGGAGGTAAGAGGTGGACTTGTGGGGTGCTGAAAATGTTCCGTGTTTGGTGCTGGCAAACGGGTGTGTTCAACTGGGGGAAATTGATAGAGCTACACACTCATGTGAATTTTTCATTAAAAAGATAAATTTTTTAAGGACCCTTCTTCCCTTCTCCCTCTCCGACCTTTTTGTTCTCCATACCTTCAGGAGTCAGGATGCTTTTCACCTTCTGCAGAAAAGGCTGGTCCACAAATGCTGGGGGTGGACAACTCATTCCCAGCGTCGGGTCCTTACTGTCGACATCAAACATTATGACATCGTAGTGAGGCCGCACTGGAAAGAGAAGCAAATGAGTCCTCGTCTTTTCTGGATAAAATACCACCAGTTACATTCCTACCCTATACCTCCTCTGTACCGGTGGTGGGCAGGGTGGCGAAGTCAGAAGGATGACAGGGAGGATGTGGTTTGCCTGTAAGGGGACGGACTTCGAGGACCAGAGGAGTCCTTGTCGTCAGCTTCAGCATCCTGCAGCAAAGATGGGGCGCTCCTCCACATTTGAAAGCACCTTCCAAAGGCTTTAATGGGGTCCACTTTTGCCACGAATGTTACTTGGTTAAGAGTTTATCTATACCACTCGTTTGCAAGCCTGGCAGAACATTACAATCACCTTTTGGGAAGCTTCTAAATACTCAGAGACTGTGGGCTACGCTCCTGACCAAAAGAATAAAAAAACCACAGGGTGGTGGGGAACAGATGGGAGGGGAGACTGGAAGCCTCTGGTATTTTTTGTAGGCTCCCAAGGTAATTCTAAACACAGTCAGAGTTGAGACTGTTGATCTACACAAAGCAGCTGACAAGGCTTTTAAGAGCTGACCCAGCAAATGATAACTTTAACTTAACTCTGGAAACATCACATGTTGTCTCACAGGAGAAAATGTTCTGAAACTTGAGTTAGTGCTATCTTTGTTGTTACTGAACACTAGCTGGCTCAAGAAAGAAACAATTTTGCTAAACGGGTGAGAATGAACTGATGACAAATTAGATCCGCTCCTTACTATAATGTTACATAGTTTTTATAAGAGGTAGGTCTGCAATGCTACAGACATCTTTTTAGCAAATTTTTGGACTGTGGTAGTAATTATTCAATAATTGGTTAGTATTTAATTAGGACTACTGCATGCTTATCACTGTGCATGGCATGGATCTGATTTCGGTTTCTTATAAAGAGAACATGTTGGCTCATTGGAGTCCAAGGAAAGTGATGGCCCTCATTTGTAGCCTTGAGCCTCTGATGAGCTGAAAGGCTATGATGGTTAGAGAAGATGGGCAGGGCCATTCAAAACTGATCTACAGACAGTAACAGCAGCAGCACCATCCTGGACTGAGTGCCCACCACATGCCAGGCACTGTTGTAAATGCTTCCCATGGGTCAGCTGTCTTGGGCTTGGGCCCCCAAACTGGCCCTAGCCTCAGAGAGGGATCCTGTGAAACTCTGACACGGTTAAATTCAGTTTACAATTAAAATGAAGGCAGCATCTGCTCATCCCAATACCAGGCATCACCCTAGGTAGGCATCCTGGTTTGCCATACCCCTAACTGGTAGATACTCTAATCCAGTGAGAACCAGGGTATCTGTTATGGAATGAGCAGGCCAGGAAGGGTGGCCTGAGCGCCTCAGCAGAACTGAACCAACCTAACTACCTTCCCACCGAGGGACTGAAGCTCTGGAAAGTACCAAAGTCACCAGGAGTCTGTATGTATAGCTGCAGAAGGATGAAGGGAGTTAATGTCTCTAGTTATTTTGCAGAAAATTAATATGCCCTTTTCCTAAATCTGGGATGCAAATTATTAGAGTAAATGGAACCTTAATTCCAGAGCAGGGGAGCTATCAAAATTCCCACTGAGAAGCATCTGCACCAGGGTTTCTCAACCTCAGCACTACTGACATTCTGGGCCAGACAACTCTCTCGTCAGGGCTGCCCTGCACGCTGCAGGATGCGTGGCAGCATCTTGGCCTCTACCCATTGGATGCCAGTAGCAACATCCCCCACGCCCTGATTTGTGACAACCAAAACGTCTGCAGACTGTGCCAAATGCACCCCGAGGCTGTGAACCGCTGATCCACACGAATGCTATTTTGCTCTATTTCTGGCTTCACCTCCAGCTGAAAGATTCATAAGAAACACCACCCAACACATCCCATCTTTTCTTCTCCCTTTCTTTACTCAACTACAGACTTTAGCTTTCCTGGGATGGTGAGGATGTGACGAGGTTACAGGTTAGAAGGAGGCACGTTGGTCTCTTAGCACCACAGGGCAGGAACGGTCTGTTCTCTTGCACCTATGCCCCATCCCCCAATGCAGTGCGAAGCATACAGCTGGCCCTATACATTTACTGAGTAAGTCTATCGACAAATGAACAGGGGAGAGACTGCGATGACACTGATGCCCCCCCCTCCTTAGAGATAAATTCTAGAGGCCTTTACAGGCCTGACAACCTTGGATCAATCTTCTCTCAACACCCCTTGAAGTGCTCCAATCACAGTACCTTCTCCTCTTCCCGCCAGGTTGGAGATATAGTCCAGGCCGTCTGCAATGTGGACCTTCATTCGGTCACTCTGGGAGAAGCCAAACCACTGAGTGGCCACTTCCAACATGGAGGGGTCGATCTCCACGGCATCGACGCAGGACTTTGGGAAATGATCGTGGACGAAGAGGGGGAGGCTGCCCCCACCCAGGCCTACCACCAACAATGCCAGCGGAGTCTCTGTAAGAAAAGAATACGGCATCACTCTGCCATCTGCTCACTGGAAAATTTTGCTCCAGCCTCAGGGAGGGCAAAAGAGGTAGTCAGATCACTGGCTCTGCTCGGGGGATACAAATTTAGAGACCTGGCCTCCCTCTCTCATTCCAGAAATTTAGGAGTCAATTTGACACCTGAAAACTCAACCCTGGATTCATGATGACTAGATCCAGAGGATGCGCCAGTGTGTTATTGTTATGGTCCCTTAAAGATCCCAAAGCACTCAGCTGACGTGGTATCGGAGTCTTCACCACAAGAGTTACTGGACTCCCTCTAGGAAATGGAGGAACAAAGGCCAAGCATTAGCTCACGATTATGAGGCGGTAGAGGTGCAATGCCCCTGCCCAGGTCTCAACTCAAAAGGTCATGCTGCCCTCTTAGACAGCCCGACCAAGCAAGGGCAATCATCCAAGTTCCGTATGTCACAGGAAAACAAAGGCCCACATCCTACCTCTAAGCACAGAGAAACCACAGCAACCACAGAGGGATCGAAGGAAGACCAGAAACAAAAGAATTGACAAAAGAAGACAGACCTTGAGGATTAAATCTAAGAACTGAGGTTCTAGAGACATACAGCAACATCAAGATATGCCGAAAGTACAGGGTGTTTCAGGAAGGCACATCCAGGGACTCCGGGTGAAGACAGTTACAACCACAGACAGAAACGCAAACGTTTTTGCTAATATGGTCAGATCCAAACCTGCTATTAGCCATAAGGCTATGACTGCACTAACTATACCACGGATTTTTTTTTTAAGCAGAAGTTCAAGACAGAACTGCATCTGGTGCTCAGACAATGTATTATGGAAAAGCCAGAAATTCTCCTCAAGTGCAAAGGCCTTGGAGACATGATTTTTAAATGTACCCTCTAGTTACACAGGTATGTACATATGAAAAACGTTAGCAAGCTGAACTTAAAATCTATGTATTTTACATATCTCATTGGATAGACTATATACCTTAATTTTAAAAAGAAATAGAAGAAACCAAACTCAGATGCCAACACATTTTAAGACAATTTCAAGATTACAAATTGAGCCTGAGGCAAAAGTTACTTAGAATGCTCATTAACTTAGATGACAGCAGAGATGAAAAAACATATGAATTTATCTGCATTTGTTAGGTTACAATCACCGTTCTTCACTACAAGACAGCTGACATGGATCGTTTACTGCTGTCATCTTACATGCTTCCGACTGTGGAAGGCAGTGGCGTCTCTCTTACCTAGGAGTAGCTCTGGGTTTCTCAGCAGGGCAAGGCCGGCAATCATGGCTTTGTGGTGTTCACAGCACAGGTAACTCTTATCAATGGACTGCCCTGGGGCCGCAGGGAGGTCCTCAGGAGTATCAGCAGGCCGCTGTTTCTTCCTGTCCTTTTTCCGCTTCTTCTGAGCTACATGAGAGATGCAGATTAATAAAGTCCTATGCTTAGTACAGTAATCCTCAGAAAGCAAGGGTTACCAGAAGCAGTGTGCTGCAGCTGGCTAGAACAGGCCAATTGTTAAATGTTAAATATATAAATTGTTACATATACAGAAATTCTGCAAACTGGTTGACATCATGTTGATAGCTTATATCACAAAAATTGGCAAAAGTTACAAACCAGGGTCCCCATCCCCAAAGAGATGGCTGTTAAGCACTTAACATACATATTGGGTACAAGTAAGCTGGAAAAGGGAAGTGGCAAAAGTACACTCAAAAGTCTGGGAAAATTCATCTGAGAAGCCCTAGTACCTCCCCTCTGAGAAATGCAAGGCCACTAACAGGAGAAAAGTTTACTCGCCAACTCTTTCAGAGAAGGAGGTAAAGTTACCCGCTCTGTGCCAATTATTGTGCCAGGACTTTTACTCTTTTAGCTCATCTAACAGCCTTATTTTAATAATTTCAATTCTTGGCCCATGAAAACACTGAGCAGCTGAAGTGTTAAGTAAACAGGCACAGAGTCGGCAGGTGGTGCAGATGGGATTCGGACTTGCGACCACCTATCCCCAACACCTATCATCTTTCTACTGTGCCACACAGGCAGTACTACCTACCATAGCGCTGAAAGGAACAGATGTTCATGGAAGGAGAGGAAGCCTATAGAAGGCCCCTCTGCTTTCCCTCTACCTGCTCCCTGAACTGCTCCAGGATATCGTACCAGACAGATGTTTGTGTCTTCGAGGGATCAGCTGCATTCCACAGCAGCCTCGGTGACCGATGCGTAGGGGCCAGAGTGCTTTCCAGAAATGTTAAATCACTCTTTAGTATGCTCGCCAATACTTCCATGAGAACATTCCTCCCACGAGAACAAAGTGCTACCAAAAAGGCAAGGAACTTGACAATGGTGAAAAAAATCTAAAACCCACATTGAAGGGGGCAAATCATTCTTTTAAGCAATTTTACTGAGGTTTTAGTGAGATGAAACTGAACAGATCTGCAACCGGAGTGACTGAACAATAGGGTAGGAACCCAACAATCATAGGTGCACTTGGCCAGGGGAAATGCCTAAAGAAAAAACCATTCTGCTGAGAGTAACTTGATCCTTGGCTCAGGGCAAATCCACGACCTCAAGAGTCTGAATTCTCTCTCTCCAGCCTCCTCCGAGAGGCCTCGCTATGAGGACAGCGTGGTCAGGCAAAGGGAGCAAGTGGGACGGACTCAGCAGAGCTAATTTCAGTTTCCATCCCTGAATCCCCGAGCCCCAAAGGGAAGTTGCACTGGAGAAGGGGAGGAGAGGAGCACTCGCTTTTTAACTTCATGCATCTATACTTTTGAATTGATTACGATGAGCAAGTACTGCTTTTATAATACAAACATACACACCCAGTGAAAAACACAGGCAAAGCAAACTATTGATTCCCCCATCAGTGGGAGTTTCTGAGCGGCACTGGAAAACCACTTACAGGGATCCTAGAGATGATTTGTATCTACACTGTCAATATTGCAGCTGCAAGCCAGCCACCGGTGGCCATTAAACATAAATGTAAATTAATTAGAATTAAAGAAAATTAAAAATTCAGTTCCTCGGTCACACCAGCCACATTCCAAGTGCTCAGCATCACATATGGCTAGTGGCAAACACAGCGTAAGCTCAGATATTAAACATTTCCTCGTCACAGACAGTTCTACCGAACAGCACAGGACCAGATGGCCTCTAAGGCACCCAGCAACTCTAAAACCCTCTGATATGGGGGACGGTGGCTCACACTGCCGAGGAGGGCAGGGCTCACTCCACTGAAATAATATACAGCAATATACGATACACAAACAATGGAGCAACCTGTAAAACAGATGTATTTAAACAGAGGGCATTAAAGCGGTTATCACATTTATTTGGTTCCACCACCCCACTCCTTATCATTTCAGAGCGGGCTTTGCTCAAGAACAGAACACACAGCTCTACTCTGCTTATCGCCACTCACACCCTAAGAGCCCAGATGGCAGAAGGAAAACCCCCAGAGCCCTGGGCTCTGTCCTTTTCAAAGACGTTAAATCACTTTTTAACATGCTCGCCTGCTCGCTCACCAGTACTTCCATGAGGGAGACTCCTCCCGTGAGAACTAAGTGCTGTCAGGAAGGCAAGACACTGGCACTGGATGCAGGGCACAGGTGCCCAGGTCCGTGCTGTATCTCAGCCAAGCTCCCAGGCCTTTCTGGGAGCCCAAAACTCAGAGTCTGAGCCATGGCCACTTGGGTCCCACCTCTGTGCCTGTGACGCCTCACCTCTGTGAGACACATCCTTCAGCAGCCTGGCTTCGGACTGCACCACATTCCTGTTGCTGAGGAAGATCAGCCGCCGGAAGAATCGCTTGTCATCACCTTGTACGTCCTCGATGACGTAGTCGCCACTCATGGGGCTGCAGTCTTGGTGCTGAACGGTCCGGACCCCGATGTCCCCACCCACAGACAGAAAGGGCACCTGAAGGTACATGCAGAGATGTGGTCAAAACACCAGCTCAATTAAGAAACGTGAGAAATTATAACCCCTTCCCTTTGTGTGTGTATGAGAAATCCCCGTATCAAGGTTCTGGACAACTCCGAAGATTTGCCATTCTATTAAAGCACTTTTCTGGGGCCTTTGAACAGATCTCAAAAGGTTTAATTCGCCTTCTGAAAATCAACTGAACACATAAAGATCTCCAAAACCACTAGTGATTGCAGTTGGTTCTGCCCAAGAAAAATGTAAGTTTCTCATCGGTAACTTCTAAAAGAACTCTCACTAGTCCAGGATAACGAAAGCTAGAGGGAAACCTCAGGAAGGGGCTATAATTATGAGAAGGAATCTAGACAAGGATAGAGATGACAAAACTATGGAGGAAACAACCACTCCAAATTCGGAGAAATTTCTCCCTTCCCCTAGTCATCTTTGCCTCTTTTCCCATTTTTCTAAACCTTGGGGGAAAAATACATTTTCCCCCCTAAACTTTTCTACTCCCTCCCCCATCTTTACATCTATTTCTTTTTGAAGACCTGTAAGAGTATTTAATAATCCCCAGCATCTCCTGACCTTGCAGACACAGGCATTGCTGAGAGAAGGTCACAAATGAAGCTCCCCAGAGGATCTGGGCCTCCCTGAAATAAGTTTCTCTGATGGACACCAACCCCAAGGTCTGCCAGGAAGAACGAAACACACATTCATCTGTAAACACAAGTCAGCCTAGCGCACAGAACCACAGGCCAGGAGCCTGGAAGCCAGGGTTCTTTTTTTCAGATCCGTTACTATATTGCACCAAGCCTCCAGGTACCTTGACTTTTCCACCTATCAGGAAGGATAAACTCCTTATCTTAAAGTTCTTGCGGTAAAGTCACCAGGATGGCGCAAGACAGATGGTGTTAACTAATAATACCATATCACCATTTTGCCAAAAACCTTCAGTTTCCTTAACAATGAAACACCAGAGCAGCAAGGCTAATATCCTGAAAATTATGCTGAGCTGTTTTGGCCCTTTCCCAGTTATAGCCTCAGATAATGATAACTCTAAGAAACAAAATGGCCAAAGAAGTCCAGTCCAAAAGTGGGGAAGGAGGAACCCACGGCTGAAACAATCTGTGACATGAAGAGCTGGAGCCCGCCAGGTGTAGATTTTCCTGCACGCCCTCTCCGTGGAGTCCAGGAGTTCCCCCAGACATAGATGCTACTGTGCCTGCCTTCCTCTCACCGCCTGGGGCAAGGGAAAGTGTTTTTCTGCCCATTTAACTCTTACTTGCTGACACCCCTCCAGATCAAACTAAGATCACAGACTCTAGTCCTAGCTCCTTCCAAGGATCCCTCTGCTTTCCTGGCTGCTAACAGGACTGCAGAGACCCGTGAAAGCTACTGCCGAAGCTCTGTTACCTGCTGCTGGGCGGGCATGCCAGCCGGGGCCAGCTCCATGACTCTAGCTGACAGCTCGGCTTGGATGGTGTCCATGCCTTCGTACTGTTGACCTCGGTGAAGGGCCACTGTGATCAGCCTCCTGAAGCCTGCGCTGGCTGCCAGCTGTTTCCGGCCCTCCTCCATGCCAAAAAGCCACTCAGTCTCCCGGCCCTGGGGAACTGGAAAAAGGGGCTTGGTTACAGGGAGTCCAGGGAAGAGCGGTCAAGCCCACAACCGGTATGACGGCCCACACGGAAGAGAAACGGTCCATGTCTGAGACCAGCATCCACCCCAACTGTGACCCTTTAGCGCACAGTTCCCTAGTGCACATCACCCAGAGCAAAGCAGCCCATCAGACATTGAGGCAGGACCGAGGGTAGATGAAAGGTGTGGGCATGTCTGTAGGGGAGGGAGGCAGGCACCTACAAGAAAAATAGCAGTAATAACAACGCTTAATGCCAGGCGTGACTCCAAGCAATTGACAAATATAAACCAATGGAACCCTCACAATAGCCCAAGGTGCATTTTTACAAATGAGGAAATTGAGGCACGGAAGTTCACACAGCTACTAAATGGTGAAGCTGGGACTCCAACCCAGGCAGCCTAGTCGCAGACTCCATGCTTGTAACCACTGCACTATTCATTCCCACAGGTGGACAGTTAGGATTATCAAATACTCAGAAAAATGCTCAGACATTAGGAAACAAATTACGGTAACACCATGACCATAAACACTTCACAATGTCTAGAATTTTCTACTTTTGAAAGCATTTCTTGATATTATCTCGATTCTTATTAAGGTAAATCTGATATCATTTAAAGCACTTATCACGTGCCAGGCACCATTTCTAAGAGCATTTGCACTTCTCACGACTACACAAGAGAGTTACAATCCCACTTTATAGATGAGGAAACCAAGGCACAGAAAGAAAAATAACTGTTCAATATCACGCCATCAGGAAGTGACTGAGCCAGGGCTGGAACCCAGTCTGGTTCCGGAGCTCACTATCTTAGCTGCTACTCCGTACTGGCTCTCTAAATTCTGCAGAGAAGCATAGCAACTTCCTCAGGTCCTGCAGCTCCCAGGCTAGAGCTGGGACTAGAATCCACATCTTAGACTAGCTAGTCCAGCATTGCTTCCATTACTCCATGCTACAAAGTAACTTAACATCTCTGTGTAATGTGTGACCTGCCTAAATTTCTCTCTACTTTCTTTCCTCCCTACCGACCGACGGACTGACCCCATTCTCACACGTCATCAAGGCTTTGCAATGGAAGATAGCCTCAAGTCTAAGCAGGTTGCTGGAGAGCTAGTACTCCCCCTTCATTATGCCTTGACTAGTCTAATCCTCTGGAAGTACACTCCCTGCAAGATGAAACCGGCCAAGACACACCCATCCACCAAAGCCCAAGCCCAAGCCCCAGCCCCTCCCAGCAAGAGGGGGAGCAATCCCAACTCACTGATGAAAATGGCAAAATGATTGTCCCGCGATGGTTTCACAGTGGGGCTGTCCACCACGTGGAGGGTGTAGCGTGGCTCCCCCGTGTCCCCATCGCACAAGTCCAGGGACACACTCCCCAGCCCGGCCTTGCGGCGCAGCTGGCTGCACAGCCAGGCATACTGCTGCCGCTCGCGCACCGCCTCGGCCAGCCGCTCGGCACTCTCCAGCCGCACAGGCTTGCCCTGCTCCTGAGTACACAGCTCAAAGATCTGAAGGGCAGAGCCAGGGACTGGCCTGAACTTGGTCATGATGAAGGCAAAGACAGGCAGGGAGAACTGAGGCTCTGCTTCCAACACCCGGTCCTGGCTGTTGGCCACTTCGTGCACCCTCACCATCCACCCCTCCCGAGAGAAGTGACCCACTGCTTTCTTCAGGATGTGAGCCTGAGCCAGGGAGACGCAGAGGTAGCGACCGCCCACCTGCAGGACACGGCCAACCTCAGCCAGCATCCTGTCCACCTGCTGCAGGGTCTTCTCCTCCTCATCTGTCAGGACAGCGTCCAGGGTGCCCTTGTCCAACACCACCTGGAACGAGGCATCAGGAAACTCCATCTGCGTCATGTCCATTTTCAGGAAGCTCATCTGGGGCCGTCGGCTGGCGTTGCGCTCCCTCATTTGCTTGATGACGACCTCGCTGATGTCAATGTTCACTATGTCCCGATAGCCCACGTCGTACAGCTGCTCGCTCAGCTCTGAGTTGCCGCACCCAATCACCAGCACCTGGGGGAGAAAACCACGAGCAAGATGGAGGCGATCAGGCCAAGGAATGTGCTCCAGACACTTCAAGGAATCAAGTCTTGCCTTGGCTGTTACATGTTTCCAGAGGTGGAGATGCTATTGTCAGGCAGAGAGCAATGTTACAGAGTTGATTCTGGACTCCATCTTGAACACCACAAGGGTCTCACTAGCAACAACCACATTCAGCTACAATACAGGTTATCTGAGAATGGACTTTGTGTTGCACGAATTATTCATTGTTGTTCTTTCCTCTGAAACACGTATTTATCACACAAGAATTAATACTAAGTTACAGAATCCAAACACAGAGTTACAGTTGAAATCTCTTATTTGTTTTACTGTTGAAATCCTAGGCCTGGAATAACCCTTTTTCTCAATCCCCTCATGCCTTTGGCTCCATCAGACAATAAACTACATTTTATGAGGATTCGAATCTCACTCCCATCACAGATTCCATTCCATGATATTTAGCTATTTTCTAAAGCCAAACTTAAAGTACAGATTGTTGCCTTTCTCTGAGGAACAAACTCCCATTCGCCCTTCAAAATTCTGCTCCTACGTCACCATCTCTGGAAAAGTATGGTACAAAGAGAAGTACGTCAGTTTTGGAGCCAGACTGGCCTGAGTTTAAATCCCCCATGTGATCTCAGGCAAAAAACTGGCTCCCAGAGCCTCAGTTTCCTCATCTGTAAAATGCATGCGTGACCACTCGCCTCAGTTTATGATGACAATTTGAAGACTGCACAGCCACATACAAAGTATCCAGCATAAGGCCTGGCCCATAAAGCTTCCTCCATAAATGTTAGTTTTCTTCCCTTCCTTCTTCCCTACCTCCAGTACAATCCCACCTCTACCAAACCTCCTATTATTTTACTTAAACGTTTCACTTTTGGAATGTGTGCAGGGTTTATGCCTTAATGCTCTTGTAGCTGTAGGGCTGAGCACAGTGACTGGAACTCAATTGAGCACTCAGCAACTACTTGATAAACAAATTCATCCTCGATGAAGCCACACGTGCAGCCTGTCCCCACGGGAGTGCACAGTGCCAGAAGGGCACACTGTCAGGAGGTGACATCTAGATTGGACTACTAAAGAAGTCGCTCTTCCAAGTAGGGTTATTAATTCAAGGATAACCGGGGTCGGGAGGTGTGTTGTCGGAGAACCTATAAGAGAATACTCTAAAGTTGTCGTTTAGCTGGAATGATGCATGGAATCCTGAAAACATGCGTCCAACTTAGGGGCCCCCACGCCTGTCACAGTCCAAGGGCAAGATTCCTGTTATCAGTTCCCAGCTTCCCGAGCACACAGGGCTGCAGGGCCGCCCTCCTTACCTTTTCCCTGGGCTTGATGTATTTGTGTAGCACCCCGCACAGTTGCAGGTAGGTTCCATACCACTCGAAAGCTTTCTTTCCTCGCTGCTGGAAGAACTTCTCCCAATAGTCAACGGAGCCAAACTCCTTGGAGCTTTTAGGTAAGAGGTTCATGTTGCCACCGCGGAGCTGCGTCTTCAAGGCTCCCTACTCCCTGCGATGGACCATCTGAGGGGCTCACCCACACGCGGGCTCCGGGCCACTGCAGTGGGATTCTTTCCACAGACACACAGCCACATTGATTGGTTCCCCCACTGAAAACCCAAAGAGATGGCCCTTACAGAGCAAACGCACGCATGAGTCACTGAACCTAATACACACTCACCCCTTCCTCCGCGCCCACAGTCCCTGCCCCACGTGTAGAGAGCCCCCACTTCTTAGGAGCCGGGTTTCTGAACCCACCAACCATATCCGGGTGCAAGGCCTCGTGATTGGTCGGCCGCCCGGACCATCCCAGCAACTCATTGGTCACTGCTTTTTGTTTCTGGCATCTCATTGGCTGCGATCCGCTCTCCTCCCGCCCGTCGCTTTGTCGCAGGCGCCGAGCGCTTCCTTGCGGTGAGGCGGGACGGGGCGGGGCGTGGGCCGGAAGAGGCCGGGCCTCCCTGCACCCTGGCTGGCGTCCGGGCGCCGCGAGAGGGCGGCCTTCCCGGGGCCGAGCGATTCAGGCGCAGTGGGGAGCGAGCAGGCTTTCGGAGTTCTGTGTTCGCTTGATGTCGGAGCTGGCGTCATCACTGACTCTGACCTTTTTAAAAAACTTTTTAAATTTTTAGTAGAGACGGGACGGGATCTTGCTTTTGCTGGTCTCGAACTCCTGACCTCAAGCGATCCTTCCCGCCTGGGCCTTACTAGAGTGCTAGTGTTACAGGCGTGAGCCACGCAAGAGCACAGCGTGGAGGGGGCTCGAAACGGAAAAACCTGAGTAGATTAGAAAAGAGGCAGGCAATGAGAAGAGCCAGTCCGTGGTAAAAGAGAACTGCACATTCTAACCATGTTATCTTCTGCATCTCTTCCACCCCCCGTCGTCCTTTGCCACCTTACTTGTATAATTCAGGTTTCATTTGGAGGACGGTGGCACTTGGCTGTACCTTTTCTGCATCCAAATCCAGGATTCCGCTATCAATAGCGTAATAACGTGAAAATTCAGGAGGAAAGAGTAACAACTAGGTAGTGAGAGGTGCCCCCTCGCTCTTCCTTCTCCCCCGAAAGCACAGTATGCAAACTTTAAGACTTTCAGTTTAATAATTGGCCTCCTTAGGTTGTCATCCTGACGTTATCTATAACTGCTTATTTTATGTGTTTGATAAACATACTGTACTTTAGATGTTCATGTTACACTAGTACCCTGAGGAAGTTCCTGTGAAGAGCACTATTTTAAAAAGATTAAATATGTGCATCATTGGAGCTTTCACACCATGGCAAATTGCAGGGGAATATGCACATTGAGGAGGGCAGATAGGCTTGGAATTGAGATAACCAAGTAGATTATTAATAGTTAAATAGGTTTAAGTGGACTTCAACTGTGGCTTAAAAGATTGTTTCTCAAACTTTGCCATGCATTCGAATCACCAGGAGGACTTGTTAAAACACAGAGTGCTGAGCCCCATCCCCAGAGTTCTGATTCATCAGGTCACCGGCGAGGCCCGAGGATTTGCTTTTCTGACGAGTTCCCAGGTGATGCTGATAATGTTGGTCTGGGAACCACACTTTGAGACCCACTGTTTTAAAATATAATTAAGAGATAAGTCAAAATGAATATGGTTCCAAATTCACCTTTTTAAGAGGTTAATCTAAATGCCTTTTACAAGTAACATCAAAAAATCTGTTCTCATGCTCCTTTGAGTTCCACATTGTTTCCTCTCTATCCAAGATAAGGAGAACTGCATTTATATTGTTCAAAATGCAAACCTAACATTTCGTATTTGTCAACATGCTTTTACAAAAGTAAATCCTAAATTACTAAGCTTTGTTAAAAAAAAAAAAAGAAGAAGAACCAGAAGGAGCCTTTGTGGTGGCTTCAGCTACTACATGGTGCAAGGTTCCTAATGGGTGAGATGTGGGTTCTCTCAGAAACCACTTATTGAGAGCTGAGGGCATCACTTGTGCTTGAAGTGCTGCACAACACCAAAGAAGCACACAACCCTAGCCTCTGCTCCCTCCCCCCAAGGCTTTATTCAATTCAACAAACGTTTGAATTGTGTAATATGAGCCAATCACTGCGTTAGCAGCTAAGGATGTAGTGGTAAGCAAAGCACTCACATGGAAGACATATGAAACAATTACAAAAATAATCTGTAATGGGGGTTTGATAAATGCTGTGAAGAAGTACAAGATTCCATGATAGCAGATAACTTTGAGACTTCTCCTGATCTAGGGGGTGACCAGAGAAGGCTTCCCTGGGGAAGGGACAAAAAGACTATATCGTCTGACTACTTTGGTAAACACTGAACAGCTGAACTTTGTCCAGTACCATCAACATGACAAAGGTAAACAACCAAGAACCATGGTTGACCCTCTGGAAGCCTTTACAAGAACTTTTGGCTACTTCTTTTCCCTGTCTCCATCATCCTTTCTATTGAGGCCATGGTATTGGCAAAGACAATAGAAGTGATTTCTATCACAGCCCAGGCTCCAGCCCTTTATTTGATGCCTTAACAATATAATTACTGTTTGCAGTATTTTTCAGGCCAAGAGAGTAACTTTCCTATCTCCATCTGTGCCTGCCTCCTTTCTTTGAGCATAACAAAGCAGTAAACCAGAGCACTTTAAGCTAAAACATGCTAGAGGTTTTCTTAAAATTGTGCGAATGACTAATACAGAAATATTTTAGATGTATTGTAACATTTGACTCAAGCATTAGTCTTTTAAAATACTTTTTTTTTTTTTTTTGAGACAGAGTCTTGCTCTGTTGCCTGGGCTAGAGTGCCGTGGCTTCAGCCTAGCTCACAGCAACCTCAAACTCCTAGGCTCAAGCAATCCTTCTGCCTCAGCCTCCCAAGTAGCTGGGACTACAGGCATGTGC